ACACACACACACACACACACACACACACACACACACACACACACACAGGGGGAGCGTCTTCATTCTCTGCTCAGGTAGACATTACTCCGCTGTATCTTTACATAGCAAATAGTGGTCTGCTGCTATATTAATGCTCTGAATGTTACACGTACAGTTACTTTAAGAGCAGTAAGTGAGGAGCCAGCAGGCAATCAATGGCAGTATAGAACGAGCAATAAATAGGTGCTTGGAGAAAGCCCTTGGGCAGGCAGACACAACAAAACATAATGCAGTTCGATGCAGCAGAATGTGAGATTAGCCGTGGACACTCTTCTCACCGACTCATGCAAGCATCTTCCTGGTGGAGATAAATAACCAATTCTTTAATTTCACTGTTAGGGCAGAGAAGGTACGTTTCCTCATTCTCCAATATGGTGAGGTCATCACGGCAGGTGAGACATTAGTATCTCACGTCACTTAGCAACAGCTTGCTGAAGTGGCAAAGGTGTCCACTTTGCTTCTCATATACATGTACTGTCCATACAACACACCTAACACATGAGCCTATGATAAAAAGAAAAGCTCCCCACTGCAGTCCAGCAAGGTGTCCATTACATCAGTCAGACCAGTCACAGCTCGGGGGAGCCCTGTGCCCTCTACAGTTTATACAAAAGCAATTGCAAGTACAGCCTTGTCCTTTTCCTCCCTCTGAAAACACAACATGCCCTTTTCGTTACTGCCACATCCATCTCCTGCTTAACTGCTCACACACAAACTCTCCACAGTGCTGTGGTGGTAGCGGAGAGCAAAGGTGCACAATCATCATCAAAAATGCTTCCCTCCCCTGTGTCTAGGTGGCTTCTTACAGCTGCTAGCTCAACTCTGCTAATTAGCTATTGCACAGAGTTAATGCACCGCAGGCGAGCATAGCTTCAGCACCGTCCAGGTCTATCAGGGTACAAAGAGCCCAGGGGGAAAAAGACAGCAAGAGGCAATGGTGGTCACTCTCACATATATCACAGCAGCTGTCATTCACTGAGATGCTCCCAGTCTTGTCGCCAGTGTCGTAATGGGGACCAACAACACTGGAAAATCCCCCGTATGTGACTTAATTTGTCGCAGTCTCCATGAACCTACCGGTGGTCCAGGGGGAGCCTGCTCTATGTAGAACTCAAGGGGTACGAGCTCATTACAATGGCCAAGAGACAGAAAGTTTGGTTGGTAAGAATAATCTTCCGTTGAACAGGGACTATAGGAAGTGAGCCAAAGCAGTGGCCAGACACTGTGGCAGTTTGTTCAACTTTTAAATTCTTTCCAAGATCCAGCTGAAGTCTAACCCCCCGCCAGTTGTGCCAAAAGGTTATTCCTATCACTGTCCGCTCCTGGAAAAGATGTCTTTTAACAGCTGTGATTTGTCCTTTAAAGAGGAGCTACAGCCAAGTTCCCTTTGCCCTACACATGCATTATGCACATACATAGTTGGATGAGTGACTTTAGGTTCAGTGATACACTCCTGTCACAGGCTGAAAGTCAAGTGGTAATCCCACTTTTCATCGCTCCACCAGGGTACGGGGGAGTTATTTTTTAGCTCACAGGAGCAGGGGACAGGCTGACATCTTTGGTTGTGTTCAGGGAAACCTTTGATGAGGACAACACCAAGCGGAGCTATTACTTGACAGAACGGACGTCATTGCAGCATTTCGTCCTCTGTTGAGAGTCTACTTGTGTCACAGCAGCGTTTAGAGTTTTTAGAAAACAAAATGTCATCTGGGAGTTGCGTTTATCTCCAACATGATGAGATATTAAATGGAGGTTGAAATAGAATTTGAGGTTTGAGACTTGACACAACCAAAGTTCTCGTCACAGTGAGATAAGCTACACTTCCCGCCCTTCGGTGGCCAGGTCCTAAAATCTGATGAACAGCAGTAGATGTGGAGGAGGGCAATGCAGGGCTGGCCGGTCTGTGACTGAAGCGTGTGCTATTTTATACAGGTATAAATACTTCCTTATGTTTTACTATGGCTGATGGTTAAGTGGCAGTCCAAAAATATCTTCAAAATCCTTCAAATCATGTTATCTTTAAACTTTGAGTGCTGTTAAATCCTAGGTTTAGAATTAAGATTTAAAGCATTCATTTATTTATTTTGGCCAGCGGGAGGCAGCTCAATAGGCTGTGAACACATTGACATATTATAGCAGATACATAGCAACATTGGCATTCATTTGGTATGTTTCCACCTGATGAAATTAACGCAATATTCTTTTCAGCAGCATATTGCTCCTCCGCGTTCAGCAGAGTCTCCGTGGGTTCAACACAATAAATGACCCTTTTCACTCTACACACATTTGATCCATTGTTAATCTACACATTAATGGGTGCAGTTTAAGTAATAGTTGTATTAATAATTCATGCAATTAAGTAAAAAATCACCAGTGGAAAACAAAAGAGCATGAAACACCAGTCCACCAACATCTTCGCTGATGCGTGTTGCTGACTCACAAAATTCTGTTCATCTTTCAGATACGCTTTCCACTGTTTTACTCCTTTCATACTACCTTCTACACGTTTGCTCAACCAATAGCTCAAGCCTCTGTTTGACCACATACTTCAAATGCATGCATCACATCGTACTAAAGAAGATGCCTCTTACCTGGCGGCCCCGTGGATCCGGTGTCTCCTGGTAACCCCAGACCGAGCTGGCCTCGTTCTCCTTTCTGACCCCTGTACCCTGAGGACAGACACAAAACTCTGGCTGAGCAAAGAAATACTGTAGTAGAAGATGAAGTAGAGCTGTGGGGTGTCATGTTTACGGAGAGCGTGTGTTGGCACAATTAGTAAGATTAGTTCAAATGTCAAAACATGTTAAAGTCAAACTGTCAAGATAAGGATTCTCTTTCGCAACCTTTATATCTGTCCAGGGACTCGAACAGCTTCATTAGCTTTTTGATGATATATCATCAATACGATGGCACGGTCAGGCATCGAGTCTGCACTTTTTGTGAGAAAAACAGCTAGTTGATGTGGAAACGGGCTATTCTGGATTCCAAGTTTCAATCCCAGACCTCTGAATAATGAAAGACGTACTGATATCCTGTCCAAATGTTAATCATTAAACTAGCCATCTCTAAGTTAGTGTTGCAAGGAGGAGGCGTTGCGAGCTTGTACAGCTTCCCGTCAACAACAGGACCTCAAGTGCACGTCTTTGAATAATAATTTTAAAAAAGAACAAAGATGCTTTTTTTCAATCGCAGGTCAGATATGTGGGTCACTAAAGGCATTCAGAAAGTAAAAAAGATTTTTCCATTCCACAGATGCAGAAAACAGTCACGTCTATTAATTGAAACTAAACCCAGACATGTACTTCACTGGATAAAACATGAACATGATCATAAAGCCTTTTGTTCTGTTTGACCCAAATCATCTTGGGTTTAAACATTGTGTCTTTTCTATGATGGGGACTGGCTGCTGCATGATAACCTCTGATGTGAAAGAACAAGCAGAGATGAACACAACAACATGCTTAAGGCTGAAGAGAAAAAAACAAAAGCATTTACACGTATGTTCAAGGCAGGCTAACAAGTGCATTGATTGTAACAGTATGCTCACAAACACGTTATTCAAAGGCTTTCTCACGCCATGCAAAGCCTGGGAGTCTTTACAGTTCAAAACAGCAGCATACAAGTACGAATTTGAGGGGCTGTGAAAATAGATCCCCATGAGGCACTTAAAGTAATGGAGTCTCAGGACCAGCGGTTGCATAGAGTGCATCAGAAACATTGACAGGAGTATCAAGCATCGCAGCGCCCGGCCCAAAGGGGAAACGCTCCAACGCTTACGTGTCAGAGGAAAATCTAAGAAAAAAAGGCTTATGAATGCTCCGAAACCGAGTTTCAAAGAGAGAGGGTCTGGCCACACATTGCCACGATAATGAGACTTCTTTCAACACTCACAGAGCTTGGGGCATTCATTCAGGGAGGAGACGATCCATTGAGAAAATAGCCCTGTACCTTAAGCAAACAAATGCTGAATAGCACACAGGGCAATAAGGTTGGGTGGCACGCTGGATATGTGCACTCTGATAAATCGAAAATGCCACCCTGGGTCTGCACTTGGTAGAAACCAATTGTTTTCTTGGGGGCACTAATGGACACAATATGTTATTAGAATATAATATTGCCACAGAGTAGTTTTCCATGCTTGATTGATAGGATTGCAGTCCTGCACCTGTTGTACGCTATTGTAAATAGCATTAACAGAAACATCTAAATATTCATGCTATGCCTTACCAAAGAAAAAGAAAAAAACACCTTTTTTTTGGAGCTGCTGCTCCATCAAAGACCAATTACTGTGGGATATTTACTGATATTATCCAGCACAAAGCAGAGATTATAGGCTGATATAATAACAGACACTTTGTTTCAGTCAGTAATAATAAATATACGGAATGCACTGAAATACAAATTTAAAAATGAATGTTAAAAACAACAAAATGCTGAATTAATGAAATGCACTTAAAACACCATCACTAACAGTGAGTTTTGTCACTACGCTCTCAAAAATAAAAGATGAATAGAATGATAAATGAGCACTCAATGACAACACAGGGGAGGGGAAAAAAAACAAACAAAAATAAATGATGCTCTTCAGCATGCGTCCTTATGGGTATTCTCTAACAGCTTGATACTTTCAGCCACGTGAAATCAAACCATGAGGATAAAAAAAAAAGAATTCAACAGAGGGGTTATTCTTCTCCATAAACAATTCATTTTGGCGTATCGGAGAACAAGTCAAGTTGGATATTCCTGAGGAGCACAGTCTCCAGCAGAGGATGACGAGAGATAATGAGGAAATATTACCCCAAACTCTCTCCCCAGCTGAGTGGAGGCACAAGTCAACAAAGAAAAAATTAAGAAGTTGTTGAATTTTTGATTTATCAAGGGGAAAAAAAAAACCTTCCTTTTTTTGTTTTCAATAAATATTTATTGCAAAGCTGCATAAATAATCACATATAAAACACTCGTTGGAAGCATAAAAAAAACAAGCTAAACAAAAAGACGTGTAATGCAAATGGCATTAACACAGCACACATATTCATAGTCGAGTAGTTGCCTACTTTAACTGCATTATTCATGAATGAAAGCAGCATTTTATGTTATAGCAGTGGGTTAAAAATGTAAATGGTCTTGAATAATGTGAGGTAGATGCAAAGAGAAAGGCCAATGCAGTGGTGCTTTGATCTGCAACAACACTTTAACACACTCCTCCTCTTCAAAAGTTAAAGACATCGTAGTTCTGCTGCGGACACAATACAATTCTAAGCAAGGGATGAGGTATAAAGCCTGACCAGCAAACCGTTAGTGCTGAATGAGCAGTCAGATAAAGAACGTCCACCCTCTTTCCTGACTATGCTCCTTTTCTACTTTAGAAGCTTTCTTTCCCGGAGTGAGGTATCAATACTGGGCCTCTTTCCTGTCCACATTGATAATACTGTCTCTTATTCACAGTCAATTCTTCGTTTGTCTTCATATTTCCAAGAGAGCCGCTGTGCACCACACTCCTGGCCTTTCCTCTGCTCCCCGCCCCTCAGTCTGCAATGATATACGGGTCCAAGCAAGAGAAAAATACCCATGAATCCCTACAAAACATACGTGTCAACCTATACTGATTCCCCCATCCTAATCCAGCTCCAAACCAACTTTTTATGTACAGGAAAACATATTTAAGTGATGGATGTTGTGGTGCACGTCAACCTGCAGCTCTGTGTACGCAGTAGTAAATGCTGCCTGCTTTACATCCAGCAGCTCAGTCTGGCAGCCTGAGCTCTTACCATTAGTACCAGGAGGTCCGGGCTCTCCTGGCGTTCCTGGTAATCCGTCTTTTCCAGGAGGTCCTGGAGGCCCGTGGATTTGTGAAGCCAAGATCCCTGCAGGTGTCTTCTGCTGCACGGCAGTGCTCGATAGCTTCTCTACAAGGTAAGAAAAAATAAAAATTCATGGTCAGAATGCAGAAAAAAAAACGAAAAACCAGAAAAATGTAATTCGGGAAAATGTTCTACCTTCGAAGACCCTCAGTACTTCTTTTCTGATGAACATTTTGAGTTCTTCCATGAAGCTGGTATCACCCTGTGTGTGTGCAGTGGAGAAGAAGACAAACAAATCTTTGTTCACAATGAATTGGCAGCAGAGGAGATACAGAGGAGGCAGCTTTCTCAACTAAAAGACCTCCACTGCAGTTTGAAACCATCTGTGTTGAAAACAACAACAGGGAGGAGAGATCACTCACTCTCCCGTCATTGCCTCATCTGCCCTGCTATCACCTCAGTCCTCTTACCTGAGCCTACCTGCCAATGTCCACGCCTGGACCTCATTATCCTCATCAGTCACTCATTCTTTTTTTGAATTTCATTTTGATAAAGTTGAATTCTGCCTGCCTGATTACTGGTTAAAGTTTGTGCCTATCCCTCAGCTGTTTTGCCTTCCTGGATTGTGACTGATTAAAAGGATTATGGACGCTTAGCTGCTTCTGAATTTGTGCTTTTGGGTTCTGGGAGTAGTAACACTATTTGGCGAAATACTACCTTGTATTATAATATCAGATCTGTGCCTCAAATCCAGCTAGGTATAAAACAGAATCAGTCTGTGCTTAAGATGTCAAATGTAGCTTTTCATACTAGCTCTGTATGCCTCTAAATACATAAAAATACATGCTCTGCCACTCAAACATTGTTAACTTTCCAGGGTAACCATAACAAGCAATAGTAGCAATAGTAGTAACAGTTTCCATCACTGCTGTGAATGTTATGTAACTGTTGAGACCGCGTAGAGCATGTGTAAAATGTCTGCGACACATGGAGGTGTTTTCACTGTTCCGCAGAGCTCTAGGCACGCCCACATATCTCTTGTCTTTTTCTCTGTCTCCATATTCCTCCCTCTCTGACCTTCTGCTGCGCCTGCTTGTGGAGTGGGAAGTGCTGAGCAGAAAGCGAACAGCAACCTCCCTTGCACAGCCTTGTTTGATGTTTCATGCAGACATCTGTAGCTGCACCATTTTTCATACAGGGAGCGAGAACTGAACTAGTTACACAAGCTCAGGGAGGAAGTAGGCTGATAAAGGTTTTAATCATGCGGCGGGGGGATACTCTTCTTGTTATCGGTGGTATCTGCAAATGTACAACTCACCAAGAGGTTTACAGTCTCCAAATGTCCTGGGGGGCCAGGATCTCCTTTATCACCTAGTGGTCCGATCTGTCCGGAATCTCCTGCGCGGCCCCTCTCGCCTTGAACACCTCTTTCTCCAGGAATCCCTGGATCACCCTGCAGTGAGGAAGCCCAGACATCTCTCAGCTTTATATGATGGACGCACTGGCCAAGCCGTTGAGTTTTGCAGTACAACAATGATAACTGCATTTCACTATTCTCCAGCCTGACTCCTACACAACTGTATCACTTAACATGCTGTGCACACTGGCCTATTTCTCCTACACTGTCCAGCCAGTCACCTGTCCTGAGGTCATGTTGCCAACTATAAAGCTAAAAGCCTCATTTTGCATTCTCTGTTTGCAAAACGATTACTGTGTGAGTGTGACAGAGCTCTTTAATTTTGCCTTGCAAATACAAAAGGAAACTGCACCGAGCGTTAAATGCCTTTATCTACTGCTTACGTGCTTGTGGGGATTAGTCGTGTTTGTGCTGAAGTGAAGACTTTCATTACTATTCATCAAAACCTTTTTTGTGCATTATAGTCTGAGTCACAAGTACAGCTTCTTTTTAGGAATGATGCTGCTTACACGTTCTCCTTTGGATCCTCTGTCCCCTGTTACACCTGTTGATCCCTTAGAAAAAGCAGAGACACATGTTTTAAGGCATTGTTGGTAAAGGAGTAACAACTAAATCACTAGAAAAAGAAATTAAGATGACTTCGATGCTTTTCACCCACTACACACAAAGTATTGATGTTCCGTAACATGCAGAGGCACACATAATACTCCGTTGTTAAAATCTGTAGATATCAAGCAGAGACTTCTAGTATTTAAACCCATCATATTGGCATTTATAGAAGTTTCTGTTCTGTTGCCTGAAGGAATAACTGTGAGCAAGCTTTTCCCGAATTACTTGACTTTGAGAAATGTACACATTTCAAATAACTGTGCATTGATTGCTTCTTACTCAGCTCAGGTGCACTGCTTGTATAATATCTCCCTGTACAGTGTTTCACCTTCTGCAATGTCATGGCTTCTCTGCATCACTGCTGTTTTCGTTTGTGAAACGCCTGCTTCCCCACTAGCTGTCTCTACTGTATGGGGGAGCTGGGAGAGAAAGTACCTGTCCCAGGCTTCATGTCACAACGTCTTGTGTCTTCCAATCCCTCCCTGTCACTCCTCATTGCTTCCCTTTTACCGTGCAGCAATACCCCCGGGAGCATCTTTGTATCAATTTCCTTGCTGGATTACAGGAGCCATGCAAAAGACAATCTGGCATGATGTGGTTTTAAAATGGGCATCCCTTTGTGATGCTGTTCTCCCCTGCCTGCTTTAATCTGCAGTACTCTGTATTCCCCAATGCCTGATGGGAGGCTTAAATCTATCATCTTGCCCACTGAAATGTGCTTCCCCGAGCATTATATTAAACCTCAAAGCAGTGCGCAAGGAGTCTGGGTAGAGGAGCAAAGCCACCTGCTAGGTGGCACTGTTGCCCCACCAAAAAGTCAGGAGCCATTGCAGAGAGACATGAGGGTAAAGCTGTACAAGGGCTTCATGCAATGCTGATATTTTGGTGGAAGAGTATTAATAATAATAAGCAAACAATGAACTGTTGGGGTTGTCATTAAGGTGCAAAAAATCATGTCAATTAGACAGCAACACAGCGTATTCAAACCAGCTTGGTATTAGACTGGACGTGTTAGTGATGGCTATTCATAGCAGATCTCTTCTGCATGCTGTGAGCCCATTCTGTCTGATTCTGTGTAAATAGTGTGCAATATATTTGATCAGTCACCAAAAAGCAGACTTTGCTGCAGTATTTGTTTCAATTTTAGCCCGGTTCATCAGGCAGGAAAACGCGTATTTAATCTAAGTGTCTACTGCCCTCTATTAGCTACAAACATTTTATCATTGCCTGAAAGCATTAACTCTATAATTAGTGTAAAAAGTCTAAAAGTCAACATCGCCTTAAATCTGCAGCATTCCATTTCATTTTTATCATTAAAATCTCAAATATGCAAATAGGTTTAATGCACTCAGGATGCTGTAGCTAGAGAGGGGGGGGGGGTGTAAAAATCTGCTGTGCCATCTTTCCGCAGCTCGGCTGATGTAAAGCACTTTCTATAAGGGGATTTGCACAACTCACCTTGTATCCAGGAGTTCCATCTTTTCCAGGTCTCCCCTGCTCAAGGAGTGCAACACAAACAAAGACATTTTATATCAGCTCCCACCTTTGATTGGATCAGCACTGTTGCACTCCTAGTAATCTCCACAGCTAATGAGATATCTCAACCGAGGGATAATGATCCTGATTGCTGTGCGAACACTGTTCCATTGTGCGCTTACAGGAAAAATTACAGAAACCATCTCTGATGGTAATTACATAGAGGATCGTAATCATCTACAGGACAAGTGGTCGCTAACATACATATTTATCCATATTGTCCTTGAATCAAGCTTTTTCTCTCTCTCATATATTGGTGAAACCAACTGTTGATAAAGGAGCAGTGTGTTATTCAAAGCCCTGATGTACTTCCAGCCTGCATTACCGGAAGGTGCTGTTGCAACAGTTAGTCGTGATTTTATAGGGAAAAGCAAAAGAATTCATGTAGGATCCTTACAGCAACACCTTGAGGTCCCTCGGGCCCCGGGAATCCTGTCTCTCCGAGCGGCCCCCTCTCACCCTGTCGGAGAACAGAGACAGCCGATGTGTCATTCTGCCGTGACAAAGGAATGACACGTGGATTGACAGCTCAAAGAGAGTTAGAGGCTGAGGCTCACCGGCTCTCCTGGGATCCCTGGCTCTCCACGAGTGCCGGGCTTCCCCTGTCAATCACAACATGGGAAGAGAACAGACCGCGTTTGACAGGTCCTCAATGGTGTCCTATCTACAGCACCTCTGAAGCCTCCAGTTTATAATATACCAACCAGCTTACTATAACTCCACAGGAAATCCACTGAACACACCACAAGTAAATGTCCGAGTTATTAATCAAAGTAGTGTTGTGTTATGGCACTTCTGTTTTGACAGTTGTTATTCTGTGTGCATTGTGAAACATCATCAAATTGTTGCCAGCAGCAGACTTGAACAACCCAGATGATACATCAAGGAGGAAAGTGAGTCGGCGTAAATTATTAAAAAAATAATTTAAAAAACTTACTGGAGAACCTTGTATCCCAGGTGGACCAAGCAAACCGTTATCACCCTGAAGGAAACATTGCAGACGTTTCAGATAAATGACATACAAAAAAATAGACATACATCACTGTCAAGCAGACGCATTGAAAATGATGTCAGAAACTGCCTAAAACGTGTTCTAATGGTCTTCTTGGGCTTTCTCACTGTTCGGATAAATGCAATGCAAATAGTCTTTATCACTTAAAATATCAAGTCTCTACTTAGAAAAATCACAAATAGGGAGTTATGATAAACAACCTCCTTATGAACTTCAGTCTTTATACTTCAACAGCAAACACTTTGCATATGTCACACCTTTGACAGTATTCCCCTAAAGGATAAATTACTCTGAATGTCACAGAAACTGAAACGTTCCACCCCTGAAAACACACAGTCACCCACACTGTCAATCAGTGGCAACTTTTCCAAACAAGTTTAGATTGAGGAAGTTGCATGCAGGACTAGCTTTGTAATTGTGCAGATGGTGACCAACAGCATGAACGCTTTGGCTCCAAATTCCGGTGGTTTTACTGCATATCAAGTTCAGATATCTAAAATCTGAAATTCCGTGATTGAATTTAAAACACAATTATTTTTTCCCTTAAGTTGACTCATAACTACAACAGGAACCCATATTATGTTTCACTTTCACACTTGTAGCTGGAAATCTCATTTCAGACATACAATCTTGAAATGCTCTGTAATGAGAAGAAGTACAGAGAAAGCACTTCCCCTCACTATGTAATCAGGTTAGGTCACGGCAGATCATGAAACGCTTCTCTGGGCTGATACCGTTGCTTACCTTGGCACCGGGTAGCCCTTCAAGCCCGGGTAATCCCATGGCCCCTGGTTCCCCCTATGAGAGGAAAGCACACCACCGGCTGAGTCAAGACAAAAAAAGTCACTACTGATATCGACTGAGGGCTGGTAGTTCGCCCTTTTTGCAAACAAGAATGATGCTATTGTTTGGTGATGAGCTACCGGGACGTAAATGGAATCATTATGAGGCTGTCAGTAAACATTAAACGAGCACAGACAGATCAAAGCTACATAAAGACGAGTAAATGAAATTCTGCAGGAGCACATTCTCATATTGCCTCTTGATATTCTCTGTGACATATTAATACAACTCTTCATGTCTCAATATGACGATAATCCTAAGAGGACAATACTTCGACCTGAGTGTATTATGTCATATGACCTATGACACATGCTGTCTCACCTGCTATAGACGGGATAAAAAAGAGCCCCATCTGACAATCAGAATCAGACGTGCTTTCCGCACTAAAAATAGAGACCCATGCCTAGTGCTCGAGCAAGTGATGGCCTCTATCCACCTCATCTTGCTCAAGCTGCCATGGAGAAATGCCATTACACAGAATAGAGGGGCAACCGGTGCTGACATAGACGGATCGTGCAGGTAATTGTCACACATGTAGATTGTCATGAATAAGCGAGTGCGACTTAGGGGAGAGTGGGCCAGCCACAGGATCAGCTGTGAGACAGATTGGGGCAATTCCACCACAGCACTGGAGCCGCTCACACAATTTATTAAAATGTCAAATTAACATCCTGGTGAAAAATCACTGTGCAACAAAACAATAAAAAAAGCAATTGGCCCCGTGAGAATAAAGAATTCAAGTTGATGCCGTGGGATTGTTTCCATGTCTGCGTGGAGTGTTTTCAGGCATCAGTATGGGGGGGGGGGGGGGGCATTTGAAGTGCAGAAAGAGTTCATAGTTTCCCACTGGCAAGACAATATATGGTACAGCGGTTTCATATTTGCAGGAGACATGATCATTTTTTCACTGTGTGTTGGAGCTCTACTGCGAGTAGTTAAGTGTTCAGGCTTGAGGGTTTATTGACTTATGCTGTAGAGAACCATGGAGACATTGATAGAAAGCAACTGGGAACTCAGACTTCTCTATTTTTTTGGGCAGCATGAAAAATAGACAAATATTTCATAAAATATATATTCCAGAATGAAAAGCTTCTACTCACTGCAAGTCCTTCGTCTCCTTTGAGACCCTTAGAAAAGAGAGAGAAAAAGGACAGATTACTCCCGTGAACGTGACAACCGCTACCGTGAAAATCATAAATATAGTCTGAAATGACATGTGGGTACTGTATGTTAGTGTCATCAAATATTTATAGCATTCATTATTGCTCCTCTTGTCTCACAATTTCTGTCTGTAAATCATGCTTACATGGTGTTATATGACACTTCTGAGACTGTGGTCTTTGGCAAGCAAGATTTATTAAAATGATCAGGATCATATGATCCAGTCTGGCTGTCACACATGCTTAACAAAACATTGGTCATACATGTTTACATTTTCAGTAAAGCATTCCCGCATTTCCAACACAATCAAAACAAGGAGTATTGATACATTTGGCCTCTTGTCCCTCTTAACACTGATGGAGTTGCTCTCGGAGCTGTTGGCCTGTAATGGATGCAGTACAGGGAGAAGCTTCCTCAGGATTGAGCTGTGGTTCATGTGCATTGTGCGCTGGGGATATTGGAGTGTCTATTTTCCCCTCCACCTTTAGTGTTGGTGGATGGATCCCTGCAGGGCCTGTAAATGAATGTCTCCCAGGAGACTGGACGAGATTATAAACTGTTTGATAAGGCGGAGCAGGGGGAGCTGATGAGCAAATCGGGTCACTTCAGTTTGGCAACTGAACTTCTAAGTCCGTTTTTACATATCAATGATGTTGTGTGTCCTGGGGCAGGTCAGAAACACCTGTTTGACAGTCAGGAAGCCTCTTGGCCTTCACCAAACACCAGCTCTCAATGAACATGATTGACTGTGAGAGGGACTCAGTAGTCGAAAAATAACACTGGAGGGCCGGTCAGGGTATTTGTCATTCAGCTCTCCCAGGTTCTGCGGCTCGTACAGTATCAACGTGCCCATGTGCTTGCGACTCTCCACAGAACATTGTAAAGGATTTGCTTCAGGCATAACAATTATTATGCTTACCGGAGTGCCGGGAGCTCCAGGGGGTCCTAAAATAGCTCCACCACTCTGAAAAGACATTGTTTTAATGTTATGACTATATATTTTACAATGTGGGTCAAACACAAGCTGCAGACTCTTTTCTGCCGATTTGATTGAAGGCACTGTGACGTGCATACAATGGAGCACAACGACAGTATCGCTGAGTTGAAGTCATTTGAAAAGTCTTTACCTGGAGCTTGTACAGACTGCTCATCCCATTGCCCTGCACATAGGGAAACATCAGAGAAAGAAAGCATTTCAGAAACACAAAAGCGCACAGTGATTAAAAGTAATCCGGGTATCAAGAACTAGATAATCACGTCTTCTTGGGCAGTATTAGAACATAAAAGAATGTTTTTCCCCATGATAGATTGGTAGAGGGCAGCTCTTGTAAATGTAGAAGGAGTCAAGGTTCTCATTTAGAAGCAAGCGGATGCCTGTGCCCTTTTCAGGCCACTGAGCCATCCCCTGTCCTCCCGTACTGCAGTTTATGAGACCAGGGTGTGGGGTGTGGGGGGGGGGGGGGCACGGAAGGTTCAAGGGGACGGCTGATGAATTATAGATTTGTCTTAAGAAGTGCTTACTCACTGGCCTTTTAAAGGGTACGAGCAAGATCCAATGCCAGTGAGCAGGTCGCCACAATTTCGTCATATTTGTCAGTTATGTGTTTCTCGTAACACTAAATACCGTTCAACTGAGCAAAATATAAGTGCAAAGTTGGTTATTTCTGTCGGAATAGTTGCCGAGGCAAGGTTTTGGCTCTAACCTTTACTTGATGGGAAAAGAAGATCTTTGCATAGCGCTGAGAAAAGCAGGATGATTAAATGCTTCCAATGTGCCAGCTGTGTTGAATGAACGGCTTTAAGTCTGTAACCTTAAAAATGAAGAAGGTTAAATGTGTAGAAAAATAACAATAACGTGTATTTAAGTGAACATGTACGGCGACATAGAATCTATGACCTTAACAGAGGGTTTGAGACTTGTTATCACCATCTGCTCTTGGGAGGAACTTACCGGAGGCCCTGGAAGCCCGGGTCTGCCCGTGGGTCCTTCATTTCCCTACCAAACACAAACCAGAGGAATTGTTATACATGTGGAAATGGAAATGATTATCAAGCACAGTCCCCTGCTAATGTAATCTAATGATGAGGAACCTCATTTCCCAACTCTGACAAAAAAAAACATCGATAATTAAATTAGCAATAATTAAAAGCCTTGAATAATTTGGTTACATTTTACCAATCACTCTTCAAAATATATGATACACCTACATATAGTTCCAAAGTTACTTATACTCCCTGGAAAAAACATTTATTTATTACAGGCTTTGAGCCACGAATACTTGCAATGCAAATGAGCAAACACACAGTTTTGAATCAGTCATAATGAGTACACATTCATCCACTGTATATTGTTGATGAAGCCCCATAAGATGTACACACTACCTACATTATGTAGATAAATGCTTGAATATTAAAACACCTTACTCTTTCTCCTTTGCCTCCTAGTTGGCCCATTGGCCCAGGTCTACCCAGAAGCCCCTGCAAACAGAACAGCATCCCTTTTTAAGCATTAATTTAAGAATGAGGAACTCACAACATGTTGAGATACAGTCAACATAAAAAAAAGGTACTTTGTGTTATGAAATAATGAAAGACATTCTTACCGGGGCCCCTGTGCGACCGGTCACACCAGGAAGTCCTGGTACTCCAGGAGTTGCCTGGAGGTCACAAAGTGGATCACCATTTTGTAAAATAATGTTGAAACAGAATATTTGCATTCATATTTTACAGCAACGCTGGACTTACACTATGTCTCCTTGACTCATTTAAAAACACTATGGAGAAATAGAGCTGTAGGAGAACTCATCGTGCTCTATTCTCTGTTTGTGCCTCACACCTGTTCAGGATGTTGACTTGTATTGCAAAGACAAGATCTACTTCACTGTGAACACAAAGCAGCTCACAATTTTTACAGATGTGTTCTCATGTGTGCAAAGCAAAACAGACAGTCGGTCCATCTGTAATATTTCCATATAATATATAGCGAAATAGGTGATGTGGGCATCTGGATCTGTTGTATTACTGGCTGTTCCCTACAGACTACAGCAGGTACTGTAAACCTAAAGGCTGAAGTATAATGTAATGGCCCGTGTCTTATCCAATTTCTTGATGCCTGGAACAGCTTTCTAGGAATCCATTAGTGACAGAAATCACAGAAATAATACTGCACATAGTGATTGCAACTCAACTGTAACTTTCATACTGAAACTTTCATATTCACTGCAACAACTGCTGGGATTATGTTCACATTGTTTTCTCTTCATAGCGTCATTGAACATGTATAGAAGCTGTGAAACATTCCATCGTCTACATGCAGCATCTGTGTACATTTGTTCAGATAAAGCAATTCTGTATTGTTTGATGTATTTTATAGATGGCCTTGCACATGTTTCTCTCAATGATTTCTTTTATCGTTGAAAAAAAACAAAACCTTTTCAACAGGGGGTATAAAACGTGTTTTATTAAGCCTATAAAATCTAGTAACAAGTCTGCCTGTTAGTGAAAATATCCTGCCATTGCAATTCAATGCTGGAGGTTGACCTATGAAATGCTTCTCAGCTCCTCTAAAGAGTGCCTTGCTTTTTAATTAGCACACGCACACAGATACACATGCAGGGCAGGCTCTTTCTAAAGCAGCTCCTTGGAGTGCAACAGATAGGGCACAGTGCACATGCAGCCCTGTGGATGGCTTTTGATAGCTCCTTTTGAAAACAGACTTTCAGAGTAGAAGGGCTTGAAGATGAGGCAGACATCACAATACATTTACATTCTTTTGAAATAGCTACTTCTCAATGTCACAGTGACTTCCGGATGGTTAGATAACGACCGGATTCATTTGTGTTGGATTCAACTTTTGTTCACTCACCTCGTCACCTTTATCTCCCGTGGGGCCTGGGAACCCTCTCTCTCCTTTGACTCCCTGCATGGAGGCACAACCAACGAGGGAGGGAAAAGTGTTTTTCACCAAACATGAAAAGGCCTAAAACTAAAGGCTGATGGGTGTAAGCGTCAAAATGTCTCTTTCCCCCTTTACAACACACGACTTGAAATAGCCGTGGCACAACACTGTATCCATAGCAACAACTTCTGCAGCGAGCACATAAGAGTGGAATAACAGCTGGTTAGGCTGGATAATCCAAAAGGCTGTTTATGAAAGCGAGCGTCAATGTAGATCTCTCTATATTAGATTAAACACACATTTAAATAAACAATATCATAGAATGAGGCCATTAGCCTTACATATTTCTTTCTGCCATGCTGAGAAGCTGAATAATTCATTTCGATCTGAACAAAGTTATATCTAAAATGTGTCTTAGTATGCGAGTATATTTACTCCGGATATTTCCTTTGCCTACCTTTGGGCCTTCCTTCCCAGGGTTACCCATAGGACCCCTTACACCTGGATCTCCCTGTTTATACAGAAGCACACAATGAATATGAGTGTAAGCACACATGCTCTTAAAGTATTCAATAAGCAACCCCAAGAGTAAATATAACGAGTGTCATGTAATGCAGAGAAGCATGGTCAGATTAACATGTTTACAGCATCTGTTCCAAATTGCCTGCCATGCTGATGAGTTACTTGTACCTTTTCTCCCACCATGCCTTCTACTCCTTGCGCTCCATGGGACCCCTTCTCCCCCTTCTGCCCAGGAAGCCCTGGGATTCTCGTCAGGCACACACTGCAGGCATTCTGCCAGCGCAGGCAACACAGGAAGCAAAAGTGGTGGCACAGATAAGATTTCATCAAGTTCAGCAGCAGCACAGCAATTTCGCCCTTTTTTTATGTCACAGAGCCTGGGTGGAGGATAAGACCCCAACTGACACAAAGTGTTCTCTAAATATCGGCAGAGCAGAATAATGTGAACCCACCAAGGGTGTCTCCGAGAGTGTCTCTCATCTGAGCGGTGAACTTTGTCAAACTCATTGACTGTGACATTTAGGTGAGAATCTTAAATATCATTGTCTCTGATCCAGCCCAGGTATAGGCACGGGACCTTCCAGAAAATAGCTAGGAGCTCTAAGTTACAGGGAGGCGATGGAAACACGCACAGTGCACCATTAAAAAGCAGCATTAAAAAGAGTCTGGAATACAAAATAAAAATGAATCTGCACACCCTGGGTATCTAATTATTCTCCAAGGAACTGTTATCAATGAAGCAATATGTTATAATTTAGTATACAAAAGCAAATAACTCATTTGAATGTGTTTAGTCCTTGTTTGTGCCATCAGGGTGTTGAATGTACTAATTAAGATTGCCACCAAACAACTGTGATGAAGGCAACCGTAGGTGAATCTAACAGAGCACTTAATGGATAAAATAAGTTGACCCTGAGAGGTGACAGAAAATGATAAGACTACTGGCATTAGGTTTTAGGATGCATTATAATTATTGTCAGAGTTGACATGCATTAGGCATTATAAATTATTATCATTATTTAGCTAAGTGCTGTCCTGCAGGTGACATCATTTAGTAAGGTGACTAACCTGCTTCAATCAGAAGAAAAAGAAAAACAATAAATCGGTAATTTGCATAGACTTTGATGGAAATGGCCATTATTAAAGGTACAACCACAAAAGAATCTCAGGTAATAAAGGCTGACGGCTGAAAAGTGTTTCACATTACGTTTGGACCTCGCGGTCCCAGTGCCATTTCTGCATTTGGTCAGTGATTGATGAACAAAATTAGGGGCAATTTCCAGCCTTTCAAAATGAGAAAAGGCACGTCTCAAGACTTTCTTTCAAATCTTTGATAAGAGCATTTTTTTTAGCATTCTTATCAGCTGCTTTAACGTTTGGTAATTGGAGGTGAAGGTTTACGTGACAAGGGAAATCTACCAGAGGAAATTAAATTAAAGGATTTTAGAAGTAGGAGAGGTGGGTGCTATTCTCAGAGGCTTATTTGGGGGTTTTGGTGCGATTAGATGGGATCTGAAATACATAGAGTAGTGTGTTTGAAACAACAGTGGTGCATACCAGGTTTCATCATGGTTGATCAAACTCACTTTCTGTAAACCTATAAGAGGCCATGTTGTTCTGCCAGATTTATATATATATATATATATATATATATATATATATATATATATATATTCATTTGTGGTACATGATGATTTTGTATTTTCATTGTATATCTACATTGGTTAAAGTTATATCTGTATATCAGATAAAGAATGTAAAGTTAATTTAATTAAAAGGACAAACACAATGAGGGACATAACAACATTTTCCATATCTGATACTTGGTTTTTGCTACCCCATTAAGACTGATTGATGGAGTATTAACATCACGAAGTATAGTCATCCCCTAAATGATGTATGTCGGGTTGTTATGTCTAGCATGCAGCATCCTCGAGCAAAGAGAAACAACCTATTACTGACGGCATTTTACACTTTTTCACAATTCACACAACAAAAGCTTTTTTACATGCCTGTTGTGAAATAAACTAATATTAAATTCTGTATGACTCTTCATACAGTGCAAGGAAAATTGCCACATAGCAATCATTTCAACAAAACTAAATAAGCATGTTAAATTGATTGGCTGTATATATCATGTTGTCCTACAGTATGGCTTGACAGTGCACCTGATAGAGCTTTTGCTATCTCTCTCTAGACTGATAGCATCCATACATTGATAAAATAGTCTTTCAAATTAACACATATTGATCCTTTTCAACCACTAACCCAGGAAACCTTTTGCACGTTATTGCTTGTGAAAAATTGTAATTATCATTAACCATGAAGATGAAATACCTTGAGTAATGCACTCATGTCTCCAACAATTGGTAGGGCAGTCTGTCAAAGAAAGAAGAGCAAAAAAACTCCATGAACCATAACCACAGTCTGAATTTCAAAGCTAACAAATCTTTCATGTTTGGGAAATATTCTGTTGTTGTTGTTGTTGTTTGTTTGGTGCAAATGCCTCTACTAAATCGCTCAAAACACCAATTTCTGAGAAAATCTTTATAAGCCTTGAAGGAATGTGATTATACCCCAAACTATTTTTAACAAACTTCTGTATCAGTGTTTTGTTTTCAGTTTTTATCTGCAACGCTTGAGGAAAGAGTTCAATAACTTTGTTGCTGGAAGACAGTCTTCACATCTTCAAAATAGTGTTGTTCTCTGGAGCCGAGAGAAACATTTTGAATTGCAGCCCATTTAAAAATATATAATGGACAATAAATGGGTTTTATGGCTCTTCACCATGCACAAATATAAATAGGTCAAAATGCTAAACAATCAAGGCTTTGATGCAGCAGCAACGACTCGTATTGTACTCACACTAAAGCTTTTACAATTATAGTACGTGTTGCTTGGACACAAACATGTGCTAACAACAGGGTGCTGCCAATTTAGTGGTAAACTGCAACACTTTCCTCAAAGTGATGTTGGTTAGTGAATGGCAGGACTAGCTGCTAATCATCTAAAAAACTGGAGCTGCACTGTGAATAGTGATTTTGACTTAAAGGTTAGCTCAGTTCTTATCGCAGATCAGTGATGCTGAACTGCAGAAAGCGAAAAAGACATCTTCTCACTTACTCGTTCACCTGGGGGTCCAGCAGGGCCCGGAGGTCCTGGCCTACCAGAGGAGCCCTTTAATTGAGACAAAGAAAGGAGTTAATGATCCTCCTGGCTATGATAGCACACATGCACCCATCTCATTTGGTGGGAATTTTTTGTCCAGGAGCCCGGATACATCGTACTTGTTCATTCCACAGTGGTAGCTGACATTGTTTGTGCTTTTCAGCTGTCCTTTATCTGGAGATATATAAGGGAGCGAATAAGAGTGAAAGCACAGACTGATCTCACTCACCTCTCTTCCCGGAGCTCCAGGAGAGCCAGATAAACCTGGGGTTCCACGAGGGCCCTGAAAAACATGCAGACACTCTGATGCATTTAACGATCCTACTTTATACAACCAGATAACTGATAAACACTGCAGAATGTTATTTGTATTGCAAAATAATTGCATGACCGCTGGCCACAGCATCAATATGCCGAAAAACCTGTAAAAATAAACTTGTTGTTTGAGTGTTGTAGAACAATTTTCCACATACCTCAATTCCCTGCTTTCCTTGGGGTCCCATGCGGCCCTGAAAACACATCACACATCTTGTTAAGACCATCTACCCTCGGGCACCCGGGATCCAATAAAGGAATTGTGTTGGACACCTCTTGCTCTATTGATTGTCTGTCTCCAACAATCCTGTGTTTCAAAAATGAAAGCAGACTCACACACAATCAAATGTGTGCTGGGTTCAAACTAGCTGTGCAGAGCATATATGATGATGGAAGAGTACAACACGCCAGCACCTCACAGTAATAACCAGCGTTTTCTTCTGAGAGTGTGTTTAATGAATGCTGATCTTGATATTCAAAAGGGGATCTCTTTCTTTAGATGACTGAAGACAATAATCTGAAGAGATCGTAGTCTGAATGAAGTAATGATTGTGGGAGACACAGACTATCAAAACAACATCATACTCACAGGCGAGCCTATGATACTCTCTCCAGGTTCGCCTTTTTCAGCATGGTCTCCTGGCAGTCCTGGGACACCTCTCTCACCCTGACAAAAACACAAGGGAGCAGTCAGTGGGGTTTTAGTAAAAGCGAATCCAGAAGTCAAGCAGAGCTGCACTGCATGATCACAGTCATTAACTATTTAAACTCTGCCCGAGCTCATTTTCCCTTTACGCTTTGAGGTTTAAGGGTAAGAAACACAAGTACTCTCAATGTTAATGGCGTGCACATGTTCATTATGCATTTTATTTGAACTCATGCGTGTGCTGGGATACGCAGTATGTTCACATGGATCATTATTTTTTTCCAAGACGACACCTTTGATTATTGGGGCGTCTTTGGTGCATTTTTTTCCAAACCCGCAAACAAACTCAGCATGATATGATCAGAAATCCTTGAAATCTATGACAGTTGTTATATTTAGATATACAGTATGTGAGCGTATTTTGGTTTCGATGAAAACTAGTTAGCGAGGAAGCAGAGAGGTCCAAACAGTTAGCTGAAAGTAAGAGATACACTTTTGAAATAGATGCTAAAAATAATGGATACATAATTGAAATAACTAAACTTAATGAATAAACAGTTGAAATAGCTAAAAGTACTGGATAGAACATCCAGCGTCAACCAAAAAGTATGAAAATTTTACACTAGGCTTACAATATCCACTTTTAAATGATTGACAATGTTCAATAACATCCAGTTTAAAATCAATTCAAATGAACACATTTTAAACATGAAAGGTGTTATTCATGAAGGAGTGCTTGAGTTCATCTGACAGGGCTGTAGAGTTCAGTCTGACAAAAAGAATTGACCTGAACTGTACCTGAACATGAAAACATTTTTTCTTCGCAGTATTGATGTAAAACCATAAATAGCACTTATCTATCTGCAGAAGTTATAATAGTGGGCAGTATAGATGGCTGTGTTGGTGATGCTCCACCACCACAGTGCTTCCTACCTTGGGCCCGCGAGTCCCTCTGCTTGGAGACAACCCATCGCCCTACAAAACAACCGGAAGAAGAATATCAGAATAGGGATTCACTGCACTTTCATCAGCAATTCACTGTGGGACCCGAGGTGCAGCCCAAAAAAAAGCTGTTCTGGGGCACTGGAATTAAAGCAGGAAAACTGGATCTGTACGAGCTACAATCCACAGTGCAAACTGTCTGAACACAGCATTATGAGCTCATGTTCAATACCGTTTACAACTTTTGTAATAGTTTCTGTGTACAGAGGCAGACTGATAATGCCATTTCAGAGAAAAACCTTGATTGGAATTGAGGCTACTGTAAGTATTATTTACTGTACGGTTCTGATGAGACATTGATTTCTGTGGTCAGCATGTAATACTGGTACAAGTCCGACACTGCACAATGTAGATTAGCTGTACAGAACTTGGATTTGAACAAACACAGCAATTCTGCAGTTACAGGGAGAAACGTACCAATTAACTGAAACATGAACCAGAAAAGTTTGGAAAGTGCAGAACTATTTGGGACTAATAACATGAATGCATTTTCTTTTTGAAAAAAAAAGAAAAGAAAGAAATCCATTAGACATTATGCAATGGCACTCCACTGAGACAAACCTTTATATCAGTTCTTTGAGAGTAGAGGAAGATTGCTAATCTATGCAAATAATAAAAGTCGAAAGAAACGCAAATTGTTCATTATTCATTTAAAGGCAAAATCAATAAAGTGACATTAACTACTTGAGCACGCTGTTAAAGACCCTCAGACCATCTGCATTAACTTCTCTTCATTGCTTTTTCCCATTTTTTTGTCTTACATAACAAAGACCATAAAGTGCTGAGAATCCATTTTCCTCCAATGCCTCCAAACATAAATGGCATTCGTAAAAGACTATCAGGTCTTAAAGACAACTTTCTTTGTTTCACTATGTAATAACGTAAGAGGTCATTGACCCTATGACACTTGCACACACATAAACACACATGTTCCAGTGAAAATTGCTATATATATATATATATATATATATATATATATAGCAATTTTCACGGTGATGGAGTACATGAAAGAGGTTACATACGTTAGTCTTTCCCTAATTACTCAGCTAAACGGAACACACTACCAGTTGCTTGATGAGCAGGTCTGTTGTCGGTTAATGGTCATTTCAGCGTTTCCACACACGAAACAAACATGAAGTTTAAAGCCACAGAGCACTTGCCAGTAATTGAGGAGTGCAAGCATTGTCAACAAGGACTGAGGCCGTGGCTGCACATGTGCCGCCTTTTTTGGGAACGCTATAATGAACATTTCTATATGCAAAGCTACGTCCATAAAAGAGAGTGCTTCAACAGTTATAAGCTCCAAAGTGGGAGGATAGGTGATTACCCAGGCTGGGGTTATCCAATGGTGGATTACTTAATGGCATTGCATCTCCATAATGTCATGGCAGCTACACAGTTAGAAGACCTAGTTTATTGTACCTTTTTTTTTGCTGCTCTTACAGCTGCAGAGGATATATGCCTTGGGAAAATCAGTTGTATTGTTGTTCTCCTGTTTTACAGTTTCTATGTTTATATCCTGTGACTCAAGAGCTAAAGCCAACACGGTTAGATGAAAGTGACTTTCTAAACTTGATAGTACGCACCATATAGCCACCTCCAAGCTCTCCAGGCTCACCCTTAGGTCCCAGTGGCCCCATCACTCCACCAGAGTCTCCCTACAAATAGAAAAACTGAAGTTTCTCCATAGACCATATGTCAGACTGGCTCTGTCATCTCAGCAATGCAAAGGGTTTACTGTATTACACACTGGGAGGTGAACAAGGAACAGTCTGGAGGGTGAAGCAGGGGCACACAACATTTACCAGGATCACTTGGCACATCAATAAGCATGAACGGTAACATTGTTTGTTCGAGGGGACAGCTTTTGGCACTGCATGGACCTTACAAAACCATTAAGTTTGTAGGTTGGAAATTGATCGAACAGCCGATCCACTGATTGAAGGACATTGAGCCACAGTCGCCCAACTTATTTCTATCACCTATTTCTATAAGATTTTCATGCTTGCCTAGCATGTATTCTAAATTTCAATGGCAATATCACCATTATAACCAAGATCCTGTGGATAACTATCCAGCTGAATGTCTTCTTCTACTCTTTACTACAACTGTAACTGTACATTTGATGAAAATGCACTAAAAATAAAACCTGGAGAGTTCCATGCTAGAGATTGGACTAAAATGTCTGATGACTCCATGAGGCTCGCGTTACCTTCCTGTCGGTCTAAACTTTACTGTAGAACCGGATGTAAATCAAATCTGCCGTTTCTGGCTAAAATAACATGACATATTTTGGGAAAGAACATCGATTTGTGTCAGATGTGAAGTCCGACTGCTTCTTTTCGCCGTTAATAGCGGTCGCTGTGTTTCGGGTCATGGTGCGTTTATGTTAATCTCGGATCTTTTGAACACAACTTGCTCTTAATATTTACAAAGTTTATATTTGTACGACTCTATCATTAAAAGGACAGTGTATAGGATTTGGTGGCATCTCGCGCTGTGGTTGCAGATTTCAATCATCTGGATACTCCTTCGCTCACTCCTCCCTTTTGAGTATTGAACCATTGTAACACCGATAATCCCACAATTTAAGTCAGACTGTGGCACGCGGTACCAAGTTTTTGCACCCCGCAGTTTCACAAGTGTGTCATAGAACTACGGTGGTAATGTAAAACGTGAAAATTGAATTTATTTTACGTATCCAAAGAGCTTGTCTAGAAGTAGACCCCTGCTCACAGTATTTATGCTAAACTAAGTTCTCTAGTCTCCAGCTTCATATTTACCGTACAGACATTGTTTGTCTTTTCACATTTATTTATAGACTACCACATGAATGGATCAGAGGTGATAGTACAGCAGAGAGGAATATATATATGTGTGAATGGATGTAGAAGGCTCCAGCACTTTAGGTTTTATTTCTCTGCCCGTGGGTGTAACAGAGTGACTCCAGTGGTTGGGGAGTCTTACTTTCTTTATTTTGACGAGTGACAAACACCAACAAATATGCATCTCAACTGCACACTCTTCCACTTTCAACACAGTGTTTGGAACAAGTCCTACTGCAAGAAGAAATTTGCGCACAAATGGCAGAGTCCTCAGAGGCATCAGAGGCAGGAACACCAAGTTAAAACTTGATTGAGAACGGCATGCAGGGCCAGTAATCTGAAAGGTGTCGTCATGAGTTGTCTAGCATGTTCAACGTGTGATAAAACATCATAGCTTCATATTTTTCTTTGAGGCGAGAACTTGATTTGAAGATTACTTACCTTTTCTCCTTTCAGGCCATCTCTCCCAGGCAACCCTGACTCCCCTAGCGAGCCCTGTAAATAGTGGTGAAAAGAGACACATCTATCACCAGGCCTTCATCTCCTCACACACATTTATCTCCTCCTCCTCACTGCTTCAGCGGGCTGCCGTGTTCCAACATAATTTCCCTTAGCCAGGATTTATGAAATGCCTCTTTTCCCTCCCTGCTTTTGAGTAAAGACAGATGCTCATTACCGAAGCAGGTGTGGAGAACAGATTGAGCCTCTGCCTCCGTTCCTGGCATAAAGAGCTTAGATTTGCCTCTTTCCACTAATTAATTCTTAAATTTGATTACTGATCGTCTGTAAAAATTCTGGACTTTTCTCCCTACTTCCTCTCTGTCTCTGCCTGTTGAGGTTTATCTGTTTATCTCTCGCTTTCATTTTGGCAGGCTGACTTAGAGAGTCGAGGATATGGCAAGGTGACAGATAAGGCAATGAAAGAAAGGAAGGCTTGACATGAAGTGCTTGTGTCTAGCGCCAAAATATACTTACTGGCTCGCCTGGCAGTCCTGGGAGACCAGTGGGTCCAGGCAGGCCTCGCTTACCCTGGCAAAGCACAAAGGAAACCAATACGTTGGGCTATTTTCTCCGTTTGTTTGGTGACAGAACTGTCTGGGCTTTCAAATGTTACAGCCCAGCCTGCTCCACTGGACACGACATTCGAGAGTATTTCAAATAGCAGTGTTGTTTAACAACACTTTTTTAATAAGCCATGGTTAGTTTCATGGCAATTACTGTATGACGAGGACATCATCATGACTGGGGAACAGTAGGTTTGTATGCGCATCTTATTTCAAATACAAGCTTATATCCTGGTTATGCCGTAATTCTAGATAAGCTCTTAAAGCGTTCCCCTTTGTGACTCATTACTGCGTTTGTATAAAATGAACGATCCACATATTACTATGGAAACTGAGCTTACGTTGAAACAACTGGTAAAATGGCTACACAAGCGTCAGTACTTCTGTGTATATAAGAACTTTTCATGATTGGGATAAAAGGTTATCTGCATTATTATTATGATGGTTTTATAATATTTTTATGAACCAAGTAAAAAAAAATACTCAAGTATCCTCAATTACAAGAGTCAAGACCTCTCGACTCTTGGTTTACAGTGAATGCATTTGCAATAGTTACGTAGACTAGTTATGTAGACTAAGCATTAGCTTGTTACAAGTGTAATATGCAATTATCGTTTACATTTATACCTTTATTAAAAGATAAACGTGTCAGGAATTATTTTCTTCCAGACTTAAACTTTGAACTTGGAAATTTGAAACCTTCGTCTCACTGTTGCTTATATTCAGCAGGTTTTCTTCTGCGTTTGATCTGTAAGTGGTATAGCTGACATAAGACAAATACAAAGACTCGCCTCTGGTCCTTGATCCCCCTTGAGTCCTGGCGGCCCGATGTTTCCCTGTTATAGCACAAACAAAGGATGAGTGAGAGGTATGGGGGAGGCAGGAAAATGGAGGAAAAAAGCATTAGCTGCTTGTCACAATACAATATCTGAATTCAAGATAGAAAAGAATGTGAAGGCATAAAAGTCGACAACGGACAGGAATTAAGGTGTGTTGCTATCAAAAACACCAAAAAGGATATGTATGATCTCTGGAATGTTGTCGTGCGGGACTTACTGTATATCAAAGAAAGTCATTTTTTTCATACAATACAAATGGCTTTCATCAACAACATGTATACATACTCCTTACAGATTTACCCTGTTGTAACCGTTGCTGCACAACACAGAGTAACACTCAATGGGTATAAAATAATTTGGAGCCCTATTTTGTTGGCAGATGCTGAACTTCTAGTGCAAGTGTTAAGTCTTACAACAAGTTACCTTGAAGCCTAGCGGTCCTTGAGTTCCTCTCTCCCCCTTCAGAACGTAAAAGGAGAACACCATCATTTGTCAAGAAGTGCATGAAGAAAATAGTCATGTAGTCACCTTCTGATGACTGGGGTTAGGTTGAACAAAATGTCCTGAAGGACCTTCATGAAGTAAGCTTTCATATTGTGTGAAGGTTAGGAACAGTGTTTCCTTTGCCAAATTTGCTTCTTTGTGAATGTGAATACAATCAAAGCAGTAACTTCAAAAAAATACCCCTGAGATACCATACAGAACCTTTTATGCTCTTGCATTAATACCACTTACACTCATCGTGGTTGTATGCTGAGTGTTTGGTTTGGATGCCTGCTACAATTCAGTACATCTCTTTCATTTGCAGCTTCTTATATCTCCACATGTAATTTATTATCTTTCGATGTTAGGTTAATAGCTGCATCAGTGGCTTTGTAATCTGCTTGCTTCAAGTAGATGCATCTGTTGTTTTGAAGTCCAAACAATAATCGTATGCCAATTTATTCTGTGTTCCACCTCTGTGGTGCACAAAGGCCCTGTTCACACCTGGTATTAAGATGCGTCTTGAGTGATCCAATCACAAGTGCACAGCTCTAAGTGCAAGTATGAATGCATCCAACACGCATTGAAGACATATATATTGGGCAGCATATGGCCACGTTCTTTTAGCAGTGTAATGTTTAGTGTTTACGTGAATGTGTCCTGGGCCACCATGAGCCATCTACTCAACAGACGTGTTCTGCGTAAGCGGAGGTATGTACTCAACGACGTCATATTAAAGTGCTACTACAGGCAACAACTACAGACAAAAAAATACTGTCGGAATTTTTTGAAAAGCCCAAGGTGATATATTACAAGTGCGTCTAACATCTTGGGTGATTTGGTTTGCCTGGAACACGCCAAGGAATAGACCCAGTCTGTATTGTTTGGATTTCTTCTTCTATTAATTTCTGGCAAACATGGCACGGGAAGGGCATCTCTGCCTCCCGCCGGTTAAAAACAACAATGCATTTGGTCTTCGTAAACAGAAATGATGATGTGTATTTGCATTTAGAGCTGGGAAGTGAGAGCCAATCACAAGAGAAGGGGTCACTCGAGACGCATGTTGAGACGCATTCTAATGCTAGGTGTGAACTGGCGTACTTATAGCTGTCTACTTGTGATCGGATCACCCAGGACGTAATGCCCGGTGTGAACTGGAGGACATCAAACTCATCTGAACAGCAGGTGATGTTCGGTTGTTCTTAACGAATCAAATGTCAACACTGCTTTTGTTGAGGTTACATAACAAATGGAAACATGATCGCACGCTGTGGTGTCATATGGTGGATGCAATGAAAACGAGTTTCTTATAATCAAATTGTCTTTACTGAGAAATATAGTAATTATGAGGGAAGATATTTACCTCATCTCCCTTTTCTCCCTTCTCCTTCATTTCGTCCTACAACATAAGACAAAACAGACCTCTTCAGAATCTGACTGAAGTGTACATCGTTTACAATTTGAAGAGGGACCACAGACACCACACACCAACAGTTCAAGTTTTATGATACAAACAGCTGCTTACAGTTTCAGAGAGCTGTCTTAATCCATGAGCTGTCATCACCTAGAAGTAGGGAAGAAGACACAGTGTTCCCTGAACAGTCTCCTCTGATCTCAAAATTACTGCAAGTGACAGCTGTTGATTGTGTTTAAAAAGGCAATATAGAAGTAAAAATCTTTTCTTGGCTAGCAAATCTAAAATAAATTCATATCTAGATAGAATGTTTTTATATTTCCTTTAGATCTTAAGAGAATCCCAGAAATGGTGCAGAGCTTCTTACAACAAAACTAAAGGAAATGAAAGGGGCAAGGTCAAGAGCAACCAGCAGAGGTGGACTGATGCCTGAAAGCTGCTACGGGTGAAGAGAAGAAATGTCCGCATTAATACCCAAATCAAAGCAGCAATTGTTTCTACAGAGTTACTTGATCCTCGTATTATTCTTTGTAGAGGCTACACATGAAGTTGAAGACCTTCGAATAACATTACAATGGATCAGAACACAATCTGATCACTTCATCAAATAAAATTACAGATGAAAATGCACCCACGACACACTGAGGATTAATTGCTATTCAATGGCCAAACTACTGACTGAAAAGAACACATTGAACACAAATGTATACAAAAATGCATTCCAGTTGTCGAATGTTTATTTTCACCACTTTAAAAATATTAAATTTGTCTCTAAATTGCAGTTCTAAGAAAGGCCAGAACTATCTTTTTAAGCCGCACACACCAGGGAGAGACGGTGTCGTCACTGAAGATAAAAGAGATGGTTTCAGTTGGACTGCTCATCATCACATGTCTTTGTTGACACTGGAATCTATATAATAAAAGCAGGTGACACAGGCACATCTAGATACAATCTGGATTTGAGATGCAGAATTAATGTTGGTGTAAATTGCACACAATGTTTCAAAAGCGAGGGCAACGCTTAAATCCCAGTGTATTATAAAAAGCAATCAACCATTGCAAAGCAATCTAGAGAGCAAACCTAATTATCCATCTATAATAATCAGAACGCGTCAGTCTTGGGTGGTTTTGGTACAACGAGCAAAGAAGCAAGAGCCAACAGAAGCAATCTTGGAACTGAAAGGCACATCAAGATGGGGAAAATGTTGGTGCCCCCATGGCACTTCAATTTTGGAAGGATGTGCCTTCTTATGAGGTCATATCCACCTGTTCAGGTGTCATTGTTTCCAGACTAGTGTGTGCCAGCGAGCCCTTTGAGAGTGTTACTGTGATACAGAGCTATTTAAAGAAACTTGACATGAAGCCCTCCTTCAGAAGCAACGATACAAATAACCTTCGGTAAGGTACTGAATCCACTGTTAGCCCCGCTGGATTGTCTGCATAATCAGTCAACCTTCAACCTGCAGTCACTCACCAAAGCAGCTGCTGGCATTTTTATTTTTTGCCTCAGATGCTGAACAGTGTCTCAGTTCCATCAGTATGTTACCAGATCAGAAATGTCAGCCAGGTTTTACCACATATAACCTTTTCTTTAAAATAACTTGGAAAACCTGTTTCAGTTTAATAGATTATATAATTATATTGTAAAGCAACACTGGCAGCAATAAAAACAGGACAGCCTCAGAGCTGAAAACTGTTTTGCCACTTTAAGGGGGTCGGGGGAAGTGATGGCAATGCATGCCTTTAAGCCCACTGCTCCTCCCCGTCACTAATAAACAGAGGCACGAGAAGCTTTATGAAGGGAGGGTAATGATCCAAACCCTTGCTTCTGCTGTGTAAGGGAAATCAATGCTTAACTGCCAAAATTATCTGCCATGGGAAAGCAGAGCATAGACAGAGACTGGCACTAAATATTCAAACAGCCTCATTTATCAAATGACTAATGTTTTCCCCTCTGCAGTGTGCTATAGCATTGTATACATCTCCTATATCTCGGGTGGCCCATACCTCATTGCACAACAATGAACACAACTGACTTTACATGACTTTTGATAGAACATTTGTCTTGCTTCCTTAGTTGAAATGAAATTTGAATTTGGGGAAAAGAGACAACTATTCAAAAATAATTGCAAAGCACAACCTCAATGTTTTGAAAAGGCATTACAACCGCCTCTATTGATATCTATTCTTATTATTAAGGGAGTAGACTTGTTGATGGTTAGACAGAAACCAGCGAAACCAGTGGAGGGTGAGCGATATTTGTTCTCCGTGTAATTAAGTAGTCAAATTTCCATATGAATCGCTTGCTAACAAGCAATGAGAATAAGAATGAAAGCAATCAAACTTTGTTTCCGAAACTCGTGTCTGAAGCCTTCAGAGGCTTCAGACAAGTCTTTAGAAACAAAACCCATTAGGACAGAGTCACCGAAACGTCAAACCCCCTCACTTTGCGACACGTGAACTCCAACACCATGCTTTCGTTTGACACTTTTATACTTGTGTACTCTTATAGTTGCAGCATTTTTTTGGAGTCATTTCTGCCCCCTCGCAGATCTTTTACTGATTTGTCACAATGTGTTTCTGACTTTGAACTTTCGGAGCAATGAGTTCTATCATCCCAGCACCACCCACCCTGTGTCACCTTCAGCGTGCATCAGATAGCCACCATGACGTCAGGGTTTCTGTGCTTTTATCCATTTCTTCACTAAAAGCAGCACGACTGTGGTGTCTTCCAACAAAAATCCTTTTACTGTAATTTACAATTATGGACATTATAAACAGGTCATGTTCTGCACGGCCCCCATTAATCTACACTGTAAAGATTTTTTTTTTTTTACTCCAAGTGAAAGATTACGACATCAGTGGGTGATGGCTAGTGCAAATGTGATAATTTAATACTAGATAGGAAAAGGAAATCACAGTTCAGAGCATGCAGTGCAGGCTATTTTGTGCTGAGAACATTGAAAAAAAATAAATCACTGGGAGCTTGTTGCCAACTACCTGTAAAAAAAGAAGCTCTTCCTTGGAGAAATTCAACAGAGCTAATCTCAACCGCCTTGAAAAGACTGTCCATGTTTCATGCCCTTCATCAACACTGATTCACTGTGTTAAAACTAGATATCTAAAGACTGAACAATTCTGCAGGCTTGTCAAAGAATGGAAAATGGTCTCAAGAGGACATGTCCCCATGTTGGAGATGTCAATGCAAAGGCGAACACTGCACAGCATAAATAAAATCTTATACTAATTAACAATGAATGATACTCTGTAAGGTGGGTTTTTGTACTTACGGGACCAGGAGGACCAGGAGGCCCAACGTCACCCTGAAAATACAACAGAAACATAATATCAATCACTATTTAAAAGACTGAGAGACAGAGAGAAAGACAGCGACAAAAACAGGTACAGTAATAGAAAAAAATACACAGGAAAAACTTGAGAAACTACTTTTGAAAGCAAATTGCCACAGATGACCTCAAACAGAGCATCAATGGATTTTAAAGCAACAATAAAAGAGGCAATAACATGACCAGACCTCAGAGAAAATACTGGCCTGCTCAAGAGATCTAAAAAGAGCCATGAGATGAGTGGAAAGAAAAAAACAAAAACACTGAAGAAGAGCATACTTCAATGGTGCATGTGCATCCTGTAGAACAATGGTATGCATGTATATATTAATGGGCGTACTGGGTGCTCCAGGGGACCATAGACAGTCCTTAATTGTGATGCATTGCATTTGGGAGCCTCTTCTCTCCATTCATAATTTATAAGCTATAACTTGTGTGCTTTTAACAAAGCAAGAACAAAGCACAACATCTGCATATATATACAGTACTATTAACAACTACAAAGCACTCCGTAAATACATGCTGTACCGTACCAAGCCCACACAATCCTCTAAATGAGCAATTTTAATAACAGAAAAGGTTTGGAAGTGTAAAATCTAGGTTTGGAGCATAAACCTTAATCCTGGGAACATAAGGATTTAAGGGTTTGATTAAACAAGCCGCACAGCTCATGTGCAATTTACCATGCTATATTCTCATCTGATCTTTTGATTTTTTGGCTACCATGACATCGTAAATGTAAGGTTAGGTCAGGTAAAGAATATTAGCCATGCTCGGGGAATGTATCAAAGTCACTCGGTCCATCACTTGGGTCCAGAAGATAAAACAGTCAAACCTCCTCTGATTTTGTACAGATGCATGGTTCCCAGAGGATGAGTCCTACTGACTTTGGTGATCCCATTACTTTCTCCTCTAGCACTACCATGAGCTTGACATTTTGGTGACCATACAACACATTCTAATGACTTTTGTGATCCTCTGATCTGCTTCTTCCACAAACAGAGTGAATCAACATGTATGACACTTGACATTGATGTGACTTACTTTTTCTCCTTTCATCTCGCCGGCCCCTTCCGCACTTGGCTGACCCTGTGGAAGGGAGGCCTTGGTTAACGACTCTGTAACATGACGGCATTGTAAACGTCACTGCCGGAAAATACCTACAGGGTCTCCTTTCTCTCCTTTTCCCCACGGGACTGCAGACTCACCCCGCTCCACCTGTGTATGAACAGAGTAGATCTTTGACAGTGACTGACAGCAAAGGCAGGGCAGAAAGATGGAAAGCTCAGAGAGTGAAACTTAGACAAGGGCAGACGTAATCAGAAAAACATACCCAGTATTGTGTCATCTCACAGTAAAACCGGTAGGAATAAAAGGGAACAATATGTGACTTTGTGATGCTGTGGTGTTGAAGGTCTAGCAGGATAATGATAAACTCAAGCCCCTGTTGCATTGCAGCACATTTCCATGTTAAAATCATTCCCCTGGCTGCCAATAGATGGCACTTTATGACTGCTGGTGAGCTGTCCTTAAGAGTATTTGTAATAGGATTTCTTCCTGTCAGTTTTGTGGAGAGTCCTCTAAGTAAACAGAAACCTTGGTCAAGACACACAGCGAATGAATATTTAAAAAGATTTGTGTTAGAACATTGTCAAATTCTTAAAGCATCAGCAGAATCACACTGTATGCATTTCCCACCTTCTGATTACCAGCAATCATTTTAGTTACATAGCAGATGTTTGGCAAATAATTCACCAAATGCATCTGGAGGAGCAGAAATGCATTGTTTCACATCCCAGGACCTGCTCAACAAAGATCATTTGTTGTGATAATTTTGTTCTTCTCCAAACACAGAGAAAGAAAAATATAGCTTGTCCAACAGAGTCTTTTGTATGACGTGTACAGATTTGTAGGGAACGCTCCAGCGATTACGACATTATGGAGCATCTGTTTAGCAATCTGAGAAGACGGAGAGACATCTGAGAAAGGTTGCAGCATATTTGCACACTCCTTAGCGGCGCCTTGACTCGAACAAACAATATCTGCCATTCGGTTGCAGCCCCTCCCCCACGCCTTCCCCCCAGCTAACGACAGCCGCTGTGATACCGTTCATTTAATGAGTTATAGTCACTGTTTCCTCATCCAAATTATGAGCTGTTATTAAGTCAGTACACTGCTGCGATGTATGAACAGATGGATTGTTCTATTAATATTTTAGGGGGGGGGGGGGGGAGGACGGACTAGTGGCAAAATTGACTTTGAGTACTAATTGAATTCTGTTCAGCTTTATCAACCACATGGGAACTCGTTATTTTACCACCATAATCTTAACATAATCTTATTATTTTATCATTGTTGGCCTGCTATCAATCAGAGGCCTTTTTCTTAACAAAGGCTGCTCACAATACAGTATAGTATCTGTCTTACAGTAACGACATACTATGCTTTACACAGAAAATGTCTTCACATTGAGTCATTAGTCAATGTAAATCACAGACTTATATATGTTTAAATATTTCTGTTGTAAGATCGCCATGGAAGATCATTCAAAGTAAGTTTATTGGCAGAGGGGTACAAGTTAATACACCTTTCAAAAGAGATTAACTGCAGCACGGCCCGTATTTATCCAAAGCAACTTACAATTCAGAGTCTATCACATTTCTACACCGTTCGGGAGCAATTTGGGGATAAGTGTCTTGCTCAAGGACACATCGACATGCGACTAGCAGAGCCGGGGTTCAAATCACCAACCCTCTGATTGAAAGACGGCCCTGCTATCCACTTAGCCACAATCGTCCAACTGTAATTTAGCCTGTCTGCATCCCTCTCCGTCTCTCCATCAATGTCTGCAGCATTCTGTCAGAGCCCGTATGAGACTGTCAGTGGGAGATACATGTTATGGAGATGTGATTCATGAGAACACCGCCTTCCCGGCACAGACTTTTTAGTTTTTCCACTTTAAAACATTCACACTCTGCTGAGCGAGTGAGAGGGGGCCGGGCTCACACAGATGTTACATGAGCTGCAGTTTAGTCTAACTTGCGTCTGTTTTGTCTAAGCTAAACAATGCACAAGGATGGCCACTGAGAATCTCTGATGCTGCTCAATTATTACTGTTCCTGGAAACTGTTACTTTCCATTCCATTTAGCTTCTCGTCCTCATTATGTTGGATTGTGTAAATTCCTTTAAATGTGGGGCGATGCTTTCGCTTTAAGGGATTCAAATGTGAAGTGATTCTCTGGGACAAGAGACTTTTTCTTGTCATCCACAGTAAGCATGCATTTTTATGACAAAGATGTATCTGTAATGTAAGGGCTGATTCATGGCAAGGGCACGGCTGGCATGCACGTTGAATGTAAGCATTCTTTGTGGTGCATTTCTACATAACATCAGCAGGAGTCAAAGGAACGCTTTAATCATATTATTTAATCATAATGCAAGCCTTAATCTAATCGCTACACAGGTAGCTTTTGTCTCCTGCGGGCTTTGTCACCTGCAGGTGTTACTCTACCTTTCATCATTCTGAAATCAGTTTGATGTTACAGAAAGCCGATAGATTTGCTTTCTTTAAAAACGTGTGTTAGAGTTTAATCCACAATGTCGAACAATATTTATGTGTTACTGTTACTGCACTTTCATCACTGGTGATGAAAATCAAAGAGAACTATGAAAACATATGCTGGACCCAAAATCTCAGAGCTATTTTCCTCTCTGCCAACTGAAGGTTTGCATTTTACGGCTCCATTTTATGATATGAGACTGATTCAAGCGAGATAATAAAACTGCAACTCAGTAGCCAATTACAGAAAACTCATGAAAAGTTAATCAAGGTAATCTCTGTTTGCCATTTTATTCTCAAGCATGACTTACAAGGGCATGGAAAAATCGTGTTATTTCTCATCCAAATGAAACCACGATCCATTTTGCCTTCACCGATGGTGTATCTGCGGCTATCCCATTTGTTTTCAGGTATAATACGTGTGTCCTCATGCAGGAAACTTTCCTTTTCAAGGTTGGCCGGCTGACACTTCTCCTTCCTCTGGGCAGAGGGAGCAGAAGGAATGCTGCGGCCTGAGCTGACAAACCCAGCAAAACGACGCACCTATACATCAAATGAACAGCTGCGGTCGGGAGGTTGTCCACTACACAATAGCTTTCACTCTCAGCATGATCACAAGTGGGCCACTGGAGGCCCGGTGGGTTGGTGGTGGGGGCTGAGGGGGTAAGGTTGGGCTTGTGAAGGAAGCGGGTAGCAACAAAGACAGCAGGAGGCCTGGTCCATGTCTGCACGCTTTTTTCACACCACGTGTCTCATGAGCCTCTAGTGAGCTACAGCACCCATGGGCTTCATGAAAATGATTACAGACCCTTTTTTTTGCAAAAGCACTGTACGTAATGGCCATCTGCCTGTTTTGGAGTGTGAGCACTGAGTCACGCTGTGCTGCGCTGCAGGAGGTGCAAGGTGGGAACAGCTATTTAACTTGCACACTAGATAGGCTACAATTGACTGAAAGGTGCCATTTCCGACAAGGGAGATCCGTTCCTGACTGCAAACAGAAAAAAATGGCAGTCAAGGACAGATGTCTGGTCACATATACGTCTGACTTGTCTTGGCAGACGACTTGGGACAATTACTTACACACTGTACGTCTTTATACAGACAACACAGTGCAGAAGATTAAACTCCTCTCCTTTTTGGAGGACTGCGAGAATGAACACTGCTCAGTCATCTTGACAATTCACCCTTGCTGGAAGTGCGGGTAAGGGCCAGTTTATCAAATGGGGAGACAGCTCAAATCTACTTTAAATGCTACATGTCAGTACTTTGTTTGGTGATGAACAATGCTTTGAGGGGTACCTTGACACTTGCTCCTTCCAGGGTTCCTGGGGGACCCTGGAATTACAAGCAGTGAAACAGTCTTTACACACAGAGAAAGCACGGAAGGATTTCATGCCACAAAAAAAGATGATTTATGTCTAATCAATGCTCTTCAACCACCCTAAGCTTTCCTGACCTTGTCATGTTTACTTCTAAAAAACATCATGATGACATGGCTGTCCACAAGCAGTCTATAGATTATCTTTAACGGTGTCTGTTGAATGCCTATCACAGACTCTCTCGTTGTCGCACAATGCTAATTTGGCTTAAAAATAACCGCTGCCCCCTCAAATGCAAGCACCGTCCTGCTGCCACTGCACAAGAGAAAGTGATGCCCTGGTGTGTGTTTCGAATAGATGATTTTGCCCCCGAGATCCTACCTCAGCAAAACAGGTGACTCATAAATGCCAATACCAGGGGATGGAGGCAAAGCTGGCACATGCTAAGGGTATCATCAGGACGCTGCCATTTAGAAATGTCACACCTTCTCCGTCGTGTCTTTCTTTTGTCCTACAACTTTATGAGTTATTAAGGAGGCAGGGGATACATTCAGTCATGCAGAAGAGGTTTAACAGTGAGTAGCTCAAATTTTACTCAAGCTAATTGAATCTATTGAGCATAACGGTGATAGAAGCAGAACAGAACCTTTGTGGATTTCTGGATGATATAAAGTACGAGAAACCCTGATGTCCTGATCAAGAGTGTAATTAGGGCGATAGTGCATGAAAATAATTGGACACCCAAAGCTACGGAGCTACATGATGCCTTAATGCTCCTTTTTGTCCTGACATCAGAGCAGTTAAGGGTCTGACACGCTGTCTCGTTGAACACATCGTGGTGTTTGTGCCCTTTGCTTTGTGGGTCACTACACAAACACACTAAACAGTGTCTGGGATTGGTTTGGACGCCTGAGGAAAACACCATAATTCAATGGGCCTTTAAGGAAAACTTGTCATGCTCATCAATACAAGCATTCTCAAGAGCTATCTTAATATAACCCTTGTGGTTTTGTGCTATTAATATACCCTGCTTGCAGCGGTATGGGAGAGGATTTTGAACAGATCAATACAGCCTAAGCATGGAATTAATGCACAATGTTTCGCTAGTGGGAGTGTAATTCCTCCTTTTAAAGCTGGATTTTATATTGCATGTCTGTTGTGCTGATTGACTGTTTGCTTTAACATGCCTTTATAATTATGATCACTTTGCAACTTTTGTTATGTGTCCACTTTTAGCCATATGTCTCAACTGAAATAGACACTGGTAATCTCAGGGGGAATTCCTGGTCAAATGAAGTTCAAAATTGATTTTGAGGCTATAAAAGCCATTTCAGGTTATTATTCCTAACATTGAGATGGATGCATAAAACTGAAATATATTGTATGTCTAGTTGTTTTTATGTAGTTGTTTTCCTTAAATCAAAAATCTAAATGTTATGTGTGTGTCTGTGTTACTGGATATCATTTACAGGCAGGCCTCTGAGTCCAGGCTCCCCAGTCTTTCCTCTCCGTCCCTAAGGAAGAAAAAAAAAAAAAAAAAAAAGATTAAGATGAGTGAGTGGAGATAAAACAACAGGTGTGGTTGGGCATACATGCTGCCAGCAATTAAGGCTAGACAGCAACTCACAGTCTATAATTTGCTTTTAATTAACAACAAGAAAACAGCTTAATTGCTGCACCCCGTGCAGCCCACTAGTCTTTGTTCCCTCCTCTGGTTTACTGCCTCCTTTCCAGCTGTGTGATTCCCTCAGTGCATCAATCAACACGAGGAGCAGATACAGCCGCAAACAGGCCAAGCCAGCCATGTGTTGTCCAGCAATGCAAAACGAGGTCAGAAGGAAGCGACCATTTTCAACCATTTTTGCTTGTTTCGAAAGCGCTTCCTTTTTCGACAACTTATGAATTGCAAAAGGCCTTCGCGCTTGAAAGTCGGCGAGGCTTGAAAAGCTGACATCTTAATGAGATGTAATGCGATCCGAACCAAACCAAAGTTGGTATGATGTACATTAAGAGGGTTTATGTCCTTGTGAGAAAAGAGGATAAAGCTCTGTGGATATCCTTACAGCTATCCTATAAACTGGCAGAGCATCACTGGCCCTGTGTTATAAGGAATCTCTGGAATTAGCTGGCTTTCACACACACAAGACAGATGTAAAATCAACTCAATTAGGAGATGGTAATACTCTGGCCAGTATCGTTTCACTGTACAACAGTGTAATCAACGGCAGAAGTAGGAGACAATACAGATATCTGAATTATGGCTACACATGATTACCTCCTGCTAATAGGAGTTTCATCATCTGATAAATTGCAATATTGAAACATTGTATCTCTCTCCTACTGTACGTGTCAGAGAGGTTAGCATAAAAACACTTATCTCCTCCACCGAGTTAGTTAGTTCTGTGGAGGAGGACGGATCACTGGCGGCTGAGAAAAAAAATCGAGAATCACAAAGCAACGCCCCCGAATCTTTCCTTCTGAAACTCCATGTAGGCAGACTTTGATTAACTGGGTCGAATTTGACGTGTACGTTTGCCTGCAAAAAACAAAACAAAGCAAGGAACACTGAGAGCGATTGCTTTTAATCATCTGTTTGTATGCGCGCTCATGCTTACATGCTGTTTGTGTTTCTGTTTGTAGTCCACAGATTAGAGGAATAATGAAAAGCTGGAGAAGCCAAGGTGTAGTAGAGTAAATATTAACCCTAATAATGACACTGTGGAACCTGTGTGTGCCTCCTTTTGGGAATTGCACGCTTTCCTCTGTTCATGCTGTTTGATGTGGCAACAAAGGTTTGGCCAGCGCCTTTTGATCATCTGTGTTAATGTGGCTTTGAGGAAACATGTGCTTTAATGTGAGCATGAACGAGTGCCACCTAGAGAAGAGCTGGAACTGCGCTGACGTGCAGAAACAGCACCTTTAAACCTTAAAACCCTTTGCTTCAAATGACTAACATTATGTGGCGTTTGAACAGAATCTGTAAATGGAATTGGGGCGGGTTAGCTTTGTGACAGGAAAAGAGCCAAAGTCATCAGTCAGTGCTCGTGCAGATTCCAAACACATCACTTTTGTGTAGAAGGTCTACTTCTCACAGAGAAAGACGCTGTTTTGGTGAAGGTGGACCGTTTTTACTTTTTTCTCTTTCACCGTGAATGAAAAGGCTGACATTGAATCGTTGCTACATTTGCATAAAGTTCAGACTGTGTTTTCTAGCCTTATCGCCCTCTGCTGCCCTTTCTCACCTGAACTCAACAACAAAAGCAGATTACATAGATACGTAATTTAGCTAATGAATATTTAATTTGTTATTATTCCAAACAGGTCATGAATTATGCAGTTTTCTAAATTATTTCTCCACATTTACCCGTAAACCTCTTTTAATGCCAAATTAATTTGGTGTCCACTTATTTGCATATTATCAGCAAAATAAACAGCTTTATATCCACCTGCCAGTTTACTAGGTACACCTACCTCAAACGAATGCATTGTAATTCAACGGCCCTGCCATGAAGTCGATTTCATGGTGATCATAATATTCAGTTTTTGTTGAAACTGATGTGTGTTGATTCAACTCTATGGCCATTGAGGGGCACTTTTTGTTGTGGTGCTGCTGAATTCTATTTCATTGTACTAAGAGGTGTTTCTAATATTAATGGTGCGTTAAACCAGCCTTACTTAGTCCGGTTGAACCAAACTCTGGAGCTTTTACCCCCTTGGTGCGGTTCGTTTGGCTTGGTGTGAACGCCGGACAAACAACCACTTTCTGGTCGGCCTCGAAGTGTTGGTTTCTGACCAACAATATCTGGAGCGGTTCATTTCAGGTGTGAACACCGTTTGAAAACAATCACAGGAAGCGTACCATTTCATTACCATTTATGTGATATCCATAAATACCAACAGCTCACTAATGTTCACTACAATGCAATCCATCAAAAAGACTACACCAGGTGACATTGGGGTGAGACTGACACTTCTGTGTACAGACGACCTCTGGTTAGTACGCCATCCTCAGCAAATCTGTGCACAGTGACAAGAAACAATTTGTCCAGAGCACAGCTGTCATCACCGTTTGCACTCAGTTGACTCTCCAAACTAAAACACCTGCCAGTGACACGGTGAGATAACTGCTTCTGAAGGGACATACAGGCCCTGCAATACTGAGATAATCAAGATGCCAGCAACCGCCGTAGTGCCCATGAGCACCCAAATACTACAGCAACAGATTAAACGGTCCAGCCTTTAGCACAAGTGCGTGAGGTGTTTCACAGCATTAACTCAGGGATTTAAGTTGAATTCTGTGTTGATGAATTTTCAATGATTTGATCAAGTCTAAATGTCATGCTTGGACCTCCTAGACTTTTGTAAAAGTGTATCTAACAGGATACTCTGACATTTGGAATTGAGGTCATTTTATAATCATTTTTCCGTCATGTAACAGATCTTTTTCTTCTGTTACTGTAAACTGTTTGTGGTCATTGCAGAGAACAACACATGCTTATTGGCACAAGCTCAAGCTACAATTACGATCTTAGGGTTGTATTCCTCCGCCAACCGGTCGTGTTGCAGTTTACATACATGTCTGTGGAGGTTTGTGCCATATTTGAAATTCTCTCCAGGCGTTCCTGGGATATTACTTATGTTCACCAGAATGGACTGGACGGAGAGACGGACGGACAGACAACCCAAAAACATAATGCCTCTGGCATAAAAATATCTTTGATACCAGGTAGGCGTATTTCCATTTGTATAAGTGGTGAGTGTTCACAGCGTCAACATCGACTTGCCTTCATTTTACAACAGTTAATCATGCTTTTCTGAAGGATACACAAAGTTAAGGTGACACATTTGCATTAACTGTTCAAAAAATAAATAATTCAGCATATTATTTTCAAAATGAAAGCATTCAAATGATGTTGATGGTTGTTTTCTAGTTTATCAAAACTGCTAATTTTCAAAAAGTTCAAGAAAATTCCACGAGTTGTATACCTGGATACAAAGCTTCATTGTAGTTCTGTCTTATTGTTTTTGCTCTTTTTTTTTACAACGTTTGTGGTGAAGAAGGCAGACACAACACCAGAAGAAAAATGTCAGAGGTAAACTGCAGTCCAAAGCAGTCTCTAGGCAACAAGGATGAACAGCAAACTCAAACTGATGATTTCAACTTCAAAGAAGATCGAAAGAAATGTAAGACAAAGTGAAAAACAGTCTAGCGAGAGCAAGAGAGCAGCTTGCAGTTGGAGTTGGATCATTAATTCTGCTCCGCTAAATTCAAGAGACTTTTAAACTTAAAACAACCTCTGTATGCCGAGGCAGGATGTGTCCCAATGATGATAACTAGGATATAACTTAAATTTTAACAGAGTGGCAAGCACACAAGACCAGGCAGCAGTGTGTGTGTGAAACGTTTTCATTCCCTCTTCTGTTTCTCCATCTCTCATGTATCTCTCCCTTTGTGTATAATGTCATAACTCCATTACTCTCATCTCATCTCTCTTTCCTTCTCCTGTCTCCTGTCACTCGCCCTGTTCCTCCCTCGCCCAACTTCCAGCACCTGGTGGATCACCCTGGCAATCTCTGTTGCTATGCAACGCTTAGTGTCCCATAAATTTGACAACATCCTAGCGCTTGATTATTATTTGAGCGCTGCAGTGTGAAGCCCTCCTTCAGGTCATTGCAGTAGATTAGAGGGAGGGAGAGATAGAGGGAGGCAAGGAAGGAAATGAGGGATGAGCGGGAGGGAAGAAGATGGAGAAACATGAAGGGATTGAGGAGGAAAGGAGAGAGAGTCGGAGTGAAAGATGAACTGGCTTCTTGAATAAACGAAAGACGGGCTGGCAAGAACTAACACATATTCACAAGCACTATTTATCTGTTCCACTCTAAGAACCTGCAAACCGCATAGCAGAAGTGTGAAAAGCACTCCACATTACCTACTAATTCAATAATGGTGCCAGTAAAGCTATGTCTGAGCTGTGGTAAGAAGGAGGCCTCGGTAGATTGACAGCGTATTTTTAATCCACATGGATCCCGGCCCCCGAACCGGCTTCAACTCTGCTATGAGTTGTAAAGTGTAGAAGGAAAGCGCAGACATGTGGCCCTGGCTCAGTGCTGCAACACAAGCCCCAATCGGAGGGCAAAGTCAACAGCGACAGTGACACACAGCAGAGGCACTCGTTTATGATAACTCCATAATCCTTATCCCAAATGTCAACATGTTCTCTGAGACATTCCCTGTCTGACTACCCGTACCGGGATAACACAGTGGCGTAAAATGGAGAGGCCAGAAGGTGTTGCATTTTCAGCAATAAAGCAGATATACCATCACAAAGCCACATAATCCACCTGACAAATGCCTCTGTCAAGAGGGGTCAGTAGATAAGCTGGAGGAGCCTCCTGAGATGAACAGCGCAGGACCCAACTCAAACCTGACACACAGCATAGAGGGATTATGATGCTTCTCCTTTCATATGCAGGGTCAGCTATCAGTGGGTAAATTCATTTGAACTAATTTCAA